GCTGAGGCCCCACGTGCGGCCCTTTGCCCCAGGCCCCAGCGCCCCAATCCACCTGTCTTAACTGCACTCACCTGTTCATTCTCCCCCCAGCACCTGCACCCGGGCTGTCAGGGGCCGCAGCCCCTGCGGTCCCTCAGCCTCAGGCTTCTTCCTACCCAGGCCCTGGGCAAGCCACCGCTAGGACAAAGGACAACCTTTCTAGAGCTCTGTTTTGGCCCCATTATCCCATGGGAAGACTCCTCCAGGAGCGTCCCATCCCCCGTCCTGGCCCTGCAGATTTCCACGTGAGCCCAGCCCATGCCCCGAAGGCTTAGAGGAGGCACTGGATGAGGGGGTGGGGGGCATTCAGTTAACAGCTCCAGGGCTGGCAGGGCAGAACCAAGTCTCCATCCACAGAAGCTCACTTACCCTCTATGTGCTGAGACTCCCTAGGTGTCTGAGGGAGTGTTTCTTAGCTTCCTTGCCTGTGGAGCCCCTGTTCTTGGAGCACCCACATACCTTGCTGCTCAGCCTGCCTGGCAGAGACCGTCATGCTCAGTTGACCGCAGCCCCGAGCACTCACCCCTGAGTCCCCGCACCAAGCAGCGGTGCTAAGGTGGTCTTGGCTCTCAGCCACCTGGTAGACGGGTAGATGTGTGGATCTTGAGTCCTCTCTCCTCTCGCAACCATTTCCAATTCACTGAGCGCTATCACCCCGCGCCAAGTCCCAGAAGGCCTGTGCCTCCCTGCTGGAGAAGCGGAACACACTCCTCATCCCAAACATCTTCACTAGGCTTCTCCTTTCCTGCCCCACCTCCACACCCTCTTTCAAGGCACAGCTCATACTGGACCTCAGCTATCTCCACTGCTTGTCTCTACAGCTAAAAGGAAGGTTACTATCTCCACTCGTCAGCCTTCCTTCAGTCTTGCCTCCAACGAAGAGTGATGGTTCTTCCTTTTAAAATATCAGGTGACCTCTCTGCGCCTTTGAGCGTCAGCTAACACCCACATGCACACATTGCATCGGCCCCCCCCAGATTGCAACCCCCCGAGGGAAATCCGTGTGCCCAGTGTCCTCCACAGAACGCTGCCAAGAATGGTACCAGTGAACATTCGCTGAGAAAACGAATCCCGTCTACTGTCTGCAGGGTAAACAAACCCCCTGATTGTTCATTATCCCACTTCTCTCTCTTCTCCCTCTTAGTTTTAGCCGCTCCACTCCCCGTGACAGCCTGCCCTTTAAAATCTGACGCTCGCCGCCCTACAGAAGAAAGGTTTGCTGTGTTTTCTGACTCTCTCCAAGGAGAGGTTAATGCTTTTCCTTGCTGTCTTAATGAGTCTGACAGGACTGCAGAGTCTCTATGACCCACTCATCCCTTAGGCCTGGCAATTACTTCTTGTCCCCGCGATGGATTTCCTCCCAGAAAGACCCCAGGAGTATCCAAGTGGACAAATCTCAGGGGCTCGCCTGTGGCCACGCTGGGCCCCAAGGATACTGGCAGTCCTCTGCTGGGCACTTGAAGCCGCCCAATCCCGGCCTCTCTCTCTCTTTATTCGACATGTATTTATTCAGACAAATGACGTGCTAGGCAGTCAGGATGGAATTCTGAGCAGAAAGACACTGCAGGCCCGACCCTTGGGGGTCACAGTGTAACCCCCAGGAGAGACGGTGAAACAAACCATCAGCAAACATGTAACTACAACCTGGGAAGGCGCAGTGAAGCGGAGCGCCCTACCACCAGCAGCTTGCCGCTCGGCAGCTGCTCTGCCTCCGAGCCCCTGGGCCACCTCTGACTGGGGCTGCGTGGGGCAGAGCCCGAAGCCCCGCCCCAGCTCCCTCTGCTGCTCCTGCTCCACAAGGGCTCATGCCAGCAGGTCTCCTCTGCTCCTAGAGCCTCCCCTGTAACCCTGTCCCAGGAGCCCGAAACCAACCCCTGGGGCTGCGTAGTGGACCACTTACTAGACCTGGTCACAAACTCTCGCCCCCCAAACTCCACAGGCCTAAGCGGACCGACACAATCCTAACAGTTACACACACACCGGGTCTTCTTCCAGATTTCTCCACTTACACAGCTCCCAGCAATGGGCTCCCAGTCCCAGGTTGCAGCAGTTTTCTCCCCAGCCCCCCTCCCCCAGGGTACATATGACACCGGACTGTCCCTTAAAGCCCCAATACCCCCATCTACTGCTCCCCAGCATTCTAGGCTTTGGGGCCCAACGTACTTTTTCAATCTGCTCTCCCAACACTTATGCTGCACGTGAAGTGCCCTCTGTCACTGACTGTCCTCAGGGTCTTACTGAGAAGTCCCTTCCCCCAGGCGTGCCCTCCCCTGGCCCTAGACACACTCCCTAGCACCTACTTCTGTGTCAGAAAAGACCCCAGGCAGCCACTGTAGCTGGGGAGGCCTCGTCGCAAACTGGACGCAATGTTTGAGAAATGGCTTTGTACAACAATGGAGGCATTCCCGGTGTTTAGGATCTTCCATATGACATGGTGCAAGGGAGTCCTGGAACTGCAGGTGAATTTTTCCATTTTTCTAGATTCTAAATTTTATTTAGTGTGGTTTTCTATTTATTAACTTTTATTTTAGAAGAGTTTTAGATTTACAGGCAACTTGAGGAGAGTATAGAGAGTCCCAGCCTCCCCTCTGCTCACTGTCCCTTATGCACGTCTCTCGTGACTGTTTTACTTCTGTCACAACTAAACGAGCCCAGAATGGAACATGGCTTTGAAAACTTAAATAAAAAAAAAATAACAGCATTGGTTTGGCAGAACCAACTAAACAACATCAATTGGGGAAATGTCATTCTTTCCATCACTGCTAATTCCAACTTAGCATTGAATATTTACCCTTTTTCTTATCATTTTAGTCTCTTCTTGGTGTGGATTCTTGGCTACAAAGTGGAACAGAGTTCGTTTTACTATCACTAGCCATATATTTGTGCACATAGTTAAAGTAGTAAAAACTTTAGTGTTCCTTAAGGTTCTAGGGAATATTTTCTTTAACACAAAGAACACGAGAATGTTTGAACACATGAATCGAGGATAGCGTGCACTCCTTCTCAAAAAGCCTGTGAGCTCCGCTAGGGTCCCACCTCCTCTCTCCCTCAAGAGCACCCGGCCCGGCTGGTGTCAGAGCTCAGCAAACCCCAGCTGCCAGGAACCAGAGGAGCTGGAGACCCTAACAGACGGGGTGTTGATGTTCAGTGACTAAAAGGGAAGAGCACTTTACGAAGCCTTGTCGGAGATGTCAGACTTCAGACTTCCGCCTCCAAAGAACCACAATGTTCTTCCTTTGCCTCATTCAAACAAAGCAGCTAAAAGTCAGTCTTCGTAGACAAGGATTTTAGATTCGAAGTTATAACAATCACAGAAACAGCAAATATTCAATATCTTAAAGAACATGTTTTCAGCTTGCTTTTAATGTCTCAGCTATAGAAAATGGAGTGTGGGTTTCTGTACTGTGTGTGGGTTTTTTTTTAACGTTCCTCCCCTGGTGAGTTTCCTTTGTTCTGACTGCCAAGTCGGTTTCAAAGACTCTTTCGGGATCTCTAGCAGTTAGAACAAATCCTATAGATTACACAAAGAAATAACCAACTGAAGAGGCCCGCTACGGGCCTACTTTTTTGTAGCAATATAACATTTAAAAACTCAAATAGGCTCCCCCTCCTTTTTTCAGTTGATAAATATACTTTCATCTTTTAGGACAGATAGTCTTTACTCCACATAGAAAAGAACTATAACACAAAAATTAGGAAAAACACTGATCAGCATCCTAACATTAAATGGACCTAACCTTAAATGGTTTTGGAAAATCCCTAAAAGCAAACAAAACAATGCAGCATTCTTATATTTTTGAGGGAGTCTATACCATTCACCCCAAAAATGTGAAGAACAAAACTTGGTTAAACAAATTAGAAATTGTAAGACAGGAAAAATGTATAAATTAGGTTTACTAAAATATTTTACCCTCAGTTTGTGCCAAAGTCAATCATTAGCTTGTAATTCCAAGGAAAATGCTGAGTATCAAAATTAACAAGTAAGAGTATGACAGTCACAGTGGGTGCCTGATGACCCGCAAATGAAAGTTAAAATAGCATCACTGACAACTTTCACAAGGGCTGTGTTTTATAATTACATTACTTGTTTTGTCAACTGTATTGAATAACTTTGCTTTCTTACGAAAGTGATTTGGCTGTTCAAGAATACCCTCACTAATGATTCATTACAGACTGATGTTTTGCAAGTCAGACTGAACATAACTTCAAGTTGGTCTTGTTTAAAAATTAACCTGGCACTAAGGGAGGAGCAGGACTGATCTCGAGGCGAGACATGCCTTTTGAGACCCTTGATGCTACTAAACTAAGCAGATGTGAGGTTCTGTGCAATTTTGCTGATGAGCTCTGGGCGGATAAAAGAGATACACTGCATAGTACAAGAAGCAACCAACGAAGACATCAACCCAGAGAAGGTACTGCAAGAATGTACCTCAAAACATGAACGAGGCAATGACAGGCAATTTCAGATTATTGTGTACATTTTTATCCCATTTGAAATTAAAATAACAACCATTCTTTTATAACCAGAAAATGATAAATGCACTTGCTTTTTGGAAAAGAGCAATAAAAATGTGTTAAAGTTCTACTTCTGCTATATGAAAGGGCAAAAGTTTTATAAGACATTACAACAATGTTCTTAGAATGTAATAAGAAGTTCCTATGCACATCACTTATGAAGGAAAGCAGCCCTTTTTTCTAACTCACTGAGGGGGACTGTTTCTCAGCCTCTAGGGAGGATTTACTTCACAGAATGGATCCAAGCTGCCACAGAAACTACAAGTGACATGAGTTCTACGGATTGGCCACAATACCCGGATGCTCCAAGATCATTTCCAGACCTATTTCATTACCTAAAAATCCTGTTCTTTCAGAATTTTTAAAGCTCTAGAAGATGATTTCTTAAAAATCGCAGTTAGAGTATACATACATGGAGGTAAGAATATAACCGAAGTTATTCTTACCTGATGTTGCACATCCGGATTGGTTGGGCAGTCCAAAGGGCTTGGATCACACTCTTCAACTGGGGAAAAAGAGACGCAAAGCTTGGTGAAAAGGACACAGTCCACGGGCCGTGAGGCCTAAGACTCCACATGACATGTGGCCTGGACACAGGGCAGGGTCAGGCCACAGACTTGTCCCGACACCACCCCATCCTCTCTTGGGGACCAGGGCCTGTCTCCCCCAGCACCTGGCTGCTCACTCTGACCCCCTGTAGAGCCCCATGTGGTGTTCAGGCTCCTTCTCCCCCAATGTGTGAACACATGACTCATACACATCTGTCGATGTCACCTACCCAGTGACAGGTGTCCTGTGTGTGGCCACCTCCATAACCCCAGGGCAGGGCCCCTCTTCACAGACCGGGTGAGTAAAAGGCACTCAAAACACCTTCCACTCTGACAGACAGCGGGTCAAATGCACCATGTCACTCATCTGTCCGACGTTTTACTAAGCCCTTCTGAGAGCCAAAGGGGTGGGGTGCGGGGGAGCATTTGTCTTGCTAGCTCACCTCCCAAAAGCCACGCCTAGCCATTCCAGTTCTTTCGTGAACTTGGGGGTTGCCAGGAGGTCAAAGGAGCAGAGCATAGACGTAAATGTCTGACACCTTTCAAAGTTCATGGTTGGGTTAGAACTTCACCCGCAGGCTGCCCTACGTGTGTGAACTTCACAGGTCCCCAACCTGTGGTGACGGTGGTACAGACGTGTCAAAAAACGATTTGGCTTCGTCAGATTTTTATCTTTAACCTCAGAATTCCACACCATACTCTAAACTTGAAAGCTGACAGAAACACCGCATGCTATAAAAGAAATGTTTGGTGTCATGTACATTTTCAGAGTGACAAAGCCTTAAACAGCGAATCATTTAACTCAGGGTTCAGAAGTGAAGACTGAGCGACAGATTAATGCATCTGTTTATTTTTTACCTTCGTTAACATTCATTCACCTATTGTGTGCTGGGCTGGCTGCCAGGTTTGTCCAAATAAGGGGCTACACTCACTCCCTCCTGCGCAATTAAACGAAACACGGTCTTCCACTGAGAGTCTATGAGATATCCTTTCAGCCGAGCGGCAGAGGTCCTGCCTCAGCTTGTGTTCCTCGAGATACAGTCCCCCGCCTTTTGCACCTGAGTCACCGGGGCTGCTTACTAACCAAGCAGATTCCTGGGCTCCACCCCAGGCCTTACCTGGCACCTCAGAGACCCCCCAAAACTGACATTTAACGAGCACTCCACGGATCCCGACGCAGCAAATAGTTACAGACCTGTGAGTCGTACAGTCATACGACTTATCACAGTGGCTAGGGTCATAATGTCAACTCAGCATTTCTGTGAAAGTGCGGTATTTTTCCCAATGCAATGATAACTTGAATTTAAATGGCAACTCTTCTTATGTGGTCCCCCAAACACTCCTGAGGTTTGCTCTCCGAAAAAGAAGAAAATTTGCAGAGCGGTCAACTTTCTATTCATGTCCTAATTTGTGGGACAGGGTTGCTATTTGGTTTATTATAACAGGGGGTACCCCAGAGAGTCTTGGTGGAGGTAGGTGGGAGGGCGCTCAGTTTCACATTTGAACAAGAAAACCTATTAACAGAACTGTGTCACCGTGCAAGGTGAGAATGCACAGGAGACCAATAGGTTGACTTGTTAGTTTCAGGGTGAAAATTTTTACTTCTGAATTATTTTAGAGATTTCCTTAGTACATTTTTATTTTCTCTGAACTTTTTCAACCTAAGCTACTATTTCTACATTTAGTTAACCAATTGTTCTAAAAGGACCCCAAATATCATCTATGTTAAGTTCAAATTCCTCAAAATGATTAACAAAACCAGTCTACTTCTCTTTTAACTTTGAATTCACTACATAAATTTTTGGACAATAAAAGAACATTAACACCAGAAAAAATAAAGATGATAAAATGATTGATTTGTGAAGCACGATCTCCCCTCACTACGAACAGTGGCTCGAAAATCAGAATTCTTTTTCCAAAGACATTTTTCTCTCAGATGTGGGCTCACACTCCTTCAGAACACTTGAGCCAGCATTTTCTACGAGACGAGATATTCTGTTCCATCTTCTGAATATTGGTCCTGAGTTGAACTCAGTGCCTCAGATGCTCACGGGAAGTGTGTCCTACCAGAAATGAGGCCTGGCACTGTGACCCCTGAAGTCTCTGCCACCAGGGAAGGCAGAAGCTACACACTTGTTCCTCAACAGAAAACAGGCGCAATAACACATTTCACCTCAAAAACACACTGATCACTATAATTATACTGGGTTTCCACAGTTGATCCATGGTAAAAGCACATCACTCACAACCACTTCAGTTTGATCACATTCAGGAATTAGTTTTCTAGTGTCAATGAATAAAGTGGGAATATACTAGAAATATAATAAGGATTTTGTGAAACATGATTAATCTGCTAAAGAAAATAAATTTCGAGGACTTTTTAACCATATGGAAATTGCTCAAGCTAATTACAAATGGCTCATTCACTAAATAAGAAGCCTCCCTAAAATTCATTTAAATGTTGGGGTCTGAGTTTGTACTTAATATAATTAGATTACATTTACTTTTAAATCTATAAATTAATTTCTTCACTAATTTGTATGGGTTTTCTCTCCCTAAAAACAAAGTCAATGAGAAAATTACCATACACATTTGATGACGATATTGTTAAGGAAATATGTTGTAGACCACTCTGCCTGGTTTTAGGAATTGTATCTCCATCCCTTGTGGCTAGGATGAGGCACGACCTTTGGAATGCGAGCTGCAGGAGACAAAGCTTGTCTCTGGTAGCAAATACTGCCTCAGTTCCTGTCCCTGCCCCCAAAGCTTGGTCAGAAGTCAATAATGGGTAAGACCCCTCACAGTGGGGGGGCAACCTAAGCCAGACTCGATCACTTGGGAGGCCTTCACGGAAGGACTGGGGGGGCTGCAACAAAGAGCAATGGACTCTTGCTGCCCCCCCCCCCCCCGGCTTTGACATAGCCCAGGTCCCCATGTTCTCTGGGAGAAGTGCTTCCTGGCTCTAATCCTCTTAAGCCTGAATACCTGTTGGGGAGAGGTACAGCTCCTTGCCTTGCTAGAGTGTGTCCTTGGGGAAAAATCTGGCGTCACCAAGATTTACTGATAAACCTGTGAAATCTGCTAAGAGTGCTTTCATTCATATGATAAGAGTCTGAGAGGAAATGAGTACGTCTCCCAAAGTTTCTGCCACTCTCTTCCTGACAGACACTGACTCAGACTCTGAAGCCCTCAGATTTCTTTGAAATGTTATGTACTGTTTGATCCTTGCCGCCCTGTATTCCTGTGTATTGCAACCCAATAAAAGCCCTGGAGCAGGGGGCTCAGGGCCTTTTTCTCCTCAGAGAAACTGGCTGCTTCTGGCCTTTGTCTCCTCTGAGAAACTGGCCACAGCCCACTCCTCCTCCACAAACAGATCATAGCATGTCTTGGCCATATTCATTCACTCGTGTCCGTGGCACTTGGGGAGACTCACGGAGAAGTTGCTCCCACATTTTGTTAAGGAAATACTAGCAGACATTAAGTTGTTATGTTATTGAATGCAAATGTTGGAGTGAGTAAGCATTTGAACTTCTGGACACAGTCCATTACACATAAGATGATATATTTCTTTGGAGATAAGAAACTATGCACTTATTAATTCTAGTTCTGCATTAGATAGAGTTTTTACAGCCACGCTTCTTGTCGACTCATCACCATTCTAATTAAAGTTTTATCACAAGTTCCAGGAGAAACCCAACAGTACGGTAACAGTCCTATCAGGGTGCTAAGCAACAATCTTTTTCTTTCAAAACAGGAAATCTCCATTTAAGGGTGATAAAGAAAAGATCTCGAGACAGATGGAACCACGACAGTGTTTTCCCTGAGTCACTGCAGCTCATCCTTTGTCTGAAATAGTCCCACTCCGGCCCTGGCTGGTGGCTCAGCTGGTTGGAGTGTCGTCCCAAACACTGAAAGGTGGAGGGTTCGATTCCAGTCAGGGTGAGTACGGAAGGCAACTGATCCAGGTCTCTCTCTCCACCCCCACCCCCGCCCCTCTTTGAAATCGACAAACAGATCCTTGGGTGAGGATAAAATAATAATAATAACAATAATAATAATAACAACAACAAAGATAGTCCCACTTTATGCCGCCCTGCTACGAAAGCTTCAACAGTCCTCAGCCCTGACGTCTCCCAGTTCTTCGGCCACCTCCCCTCCACCTGGCTGAGGCTTGCGTGTGTCAGGCACCGGCCCGGGCTCGGTCCCCCAGCTTCTCACAAGCACTTGGGAGGTGGATGCTCACAAGTCCTGCCTGCGCTGCAGATGGGAACCTGAGACCCCGAGGCCTGCGGCCACCACGGGGCCCATGAGAGCTGGTAGTGTGGCTGGGCTCTGTTCTCAGGTCGCTGGCAGGCACACCAAGCTCTGGAAGCCTTCCAGCCTGGCTCTCACAGTGAGGTCTGGGTCCCGGCCGCTTAGTCAGTGTTAGAATGCAGGTTCCCCGGCCTGACCCCGGAGCACCCAGCATGATTTCAGGGCAGCGGGGCCTGGGATCTGCATTTTAAACAAACACCACACATTGAAGTTTGCAGTGTCACCCAAGACTGTGTCCCATCTGCGCCTGGCCATGGGGCTCATGCCACCCACTCTCCTGCAGAACTGGAGAACCACAGATTGGGGACTCAGGACACTCAGAGGTCACCCCCGTGGATGCGGGGGCAGTGCGCTTGCCAGGGCCTCCCCTGATAGCTGGGAGTGGGGCTCACACCAGGTCTTTCCTCCACCAGTGCCTTCCCGGGACACGGACACACACGGGAAGAACCCTCTGATGCTGTAGCTTCGGGGAGCAGGGGGTGAGTCTGGTAAGCAGGGACTGGAAGGGAGGGGAGTGGGCCCCTGTGGGAACTCCCGCCCACCTCCAGTCAGTGACCCCGTGACACGCGGCACTGCGCAGGATGCTGGGAACCCACAGTGAGTGCCAGGACGTCTTCTCCCCAGGAAGCGGGGGATGTGGGCAGGGCAGCTCTGAAGCTGGTCAGATTGACCACTCCCCACTCTCCTCTCTGGGTTGTCAACAGAGCGCAAGTCAAGGCTTCAGTGCGGCAAACAGTGCCCGGCCTCCACCGCAGACGGACGCTGGGCAACCAGGAGAGGCAAAGCCTCGCGCCCCCGCCCTGCCGGGGTCTGCACCAGCCCGCGTGTCGAGTGTTGGAGTGCGCGCTGTGAAAGGGCTGCTCTTGCTTTGGGGCCTGACAAGCCGCCCTGCTTCAGAACCGGTGTTCCTGTGGTCTGGGTGGAAATGGAAATGACGGTGTACCCCTCCGCACCCACCCAATCTCAAGGCTCAGCCCTGGTGACCACAACTCATTCTGTGGCGGCCACACCACCAAACTGCTCATGTTGCACTGGTGGGGGAAGGTCGGCCTCTCTGGACCCTCGTGAGCAGCACCAAGTGAAGCTAATGGTGTTGGGGACCATCCCCCCACCACAGGAAAAGCCCCCTGCCCCCTGCCACAGGAAAAGCCAGTCTGAGGACAGAAGACAGAGCCGGAGAGAGAGTCAACGCCACCCTTTGAGTGTCTGCAGCTGGCAGTGCTGGAGGACCTTAAGCCAATAAGTCTCTCCCAAGTTTTAAAACAAGCCTCAGCGAGGCTTCTGGCCTTGCAACCCGAGGTCGTGGGGAGTGTCTTCATGTCATGCACATGAAAAACACCATAGACATTTCATGATAATGTTATAAACTAATTTATACATTTAATAAGGAAGTTCATGCCTGAGATAATCATCCAAAAAAGCCATTTACAATTTTAAGTAGTGGAAAGTCACTTTCCCTAGTGCTTCATTCAAGACAGTACAATAATCATAAGCTCAAGTAGTTATGTTAACTATACATACCTTTAGGGAGTCCCGTGTCTTGAATAGGATATTTGTCAGACTGTAGAAACCAACAAAAGAGGACAGTTATTTTTAAACACCACAGTCAATTACCAGATCAAAAAAAGAAAGCTTTGTCTTGCGAAAGTCATGATTTCAACGTAAAACTTTGCATGTGGTTAGCCCTGGACTTGTCACTGGGGCTGACCTATCCCTGGCTGGCTTGCGTTCTCGACTTACAGACACGAGAACAAGGCTGATGAGAAGTGAATGTTGGAGCGTGAAGCAGGGAAGCAGAGCAGCCTCCGGCTTTCCCGAGCTCTGGCCCCCCGCACCGCACGTCCTGTCCTGCCTGCAGACCTAATTTCCTGCAGTTTAGACCTGAGGGGCATTTTTCTCATGAATTATGAGGATGCACTCATTTTTGTCCCACCATCTCTGTGGCATTCGTCTGGGTCGACATGCAGAGTCCTGGGTGGCCCTGTCTGGGACAGCCCTGTGCTGTGTTCAGTCACCTCCCATTGGCTGCAGGAAGATCTGCAGACCGCTCAGTCGCCGGGCACAGCTACGCACAGCGGCCCTCGCCTTCGCCGAGGGCTGCACTACCCCCCTGCAGCCGTGCACTCACAACTGCGAGTTGCTCTGTTGGTGCCCACAAGCATGCAGGTATGGAATGTTCTGGAAGCGCTGGCTCCAGACTATACCGGTAGCTGTTCTCTGAAGACTTCCACGAGTAGGGTGAGAGTGTGCCCAGTTCCCCACCCGGCCCCCTGACCCAGGGGGCCCACTGTCCTACAGTCTGACTAAGCTGTACCTTCCAGTCCTCCCATGGGCCTCAGCCTTGGACAGAGGACAACAACAAACAAACCTGAAAAAAGGATTTTGTTTTAAATGCCTTTCCTTGGAGGTTCTTTGGAGCTGGGCGGTAAAGTTTCAGGACGTCTAGAAGCCTCCAACCCCTTTCCACAAAAGCAACCAATCAATCAATCACCAACCACAGAGAACTTAGGGGTCAGTTTTCCCCCAGATTAAATCCTTCCCGCCGACACTCGGCTGCCCAGAAACCCCCCGGTGTGGCAGCACTTCCGGGCTCTCTGTACGTTATTCGCCTGTTTCCTGGGAGAGACAAGAGGAGGGCCCAGGTTTTGATCTGTGTTAGCGAAACATCTGCGAGCCTGCAGGGATGGACACTCGGGCCGGGGAGGGTGGTTTCCTGGAGATACTGACATCTGAGCTGGGCCTAAGGGGGGCCTGGGACCAGGAAGACCGAGAAGAAGGGCGTGGCGACTGCAGACAGTGGCACAGAGGAGCAAGGCCAGGTGGGCGCAGAGTGGTGTGGCAGGTGAGGAAGGCCTGCCAGAGGGAAGCAGAGATGCCCACGGAGGCAGAAGAGGAAGACAGGGGTGCGTACGACACGTTGGGGCCGGTTACAGGGAAGCCCTGGAAGGGAGGCAGAGGGGTTCAGGTGAGGGCTGAGCTCACCACACCCCGCCACCTGCCTGAGCCCAGCTCCGCACAGGGGGCGATGGCTGGCACAGTCTTGCATGAACTCAGACAAGCAAGTGATCCAGCACAACTTGGTAGAAAGTAGGGATGAGTTATTAGGAGGGAGCACCCAAAGGCCTGAGGGCAAGGTGAAGAAGGCTTTGTAATCGGAAAACCTTGACTGGGAGGGGGGGTCGCAGGAGTTCACTGGCTGAGGACACAGGGAGGGGGCCGTGTTACAGGTGCCCTGGGAAGGTGGTAGGGTGAGGGGCTGGCCATCTGAGGAGCAGCAAACAGCTGTTCACAACTGGTTCTCAGAGGGATGCTGACCTCACCAGACACGCCAAGGAGTGTGACTTAATCCGGGAGGCCGCAGGAATGTTATGGGATGAACTGTGCCGTCCCCCGCAAGGTGTGCTGAAGCCCTACCCCCTGTACCTCAGAATGTGACCTCACTGGAAATAGGGTTGTTGTAGATATAATTAGCTAAGATGAGGTCATACTGGTGTAGGGTGAGCCCTTAATCCCATGTGACCGACGTCCTTACAAGAGAGACAGAGCTACGGGGAGAAGACAGCCTCGTGCCAGCGAAGACAGAGAATGGAGTGATGCAGCCCCAGGACACCGAGGGCGGCCGACAGCCACCAGCGGCTGGAAGAGGCAGGAGGGGATTCTCCCCTGCGGGTGTCAGAGGAAGCACACCCTGCAGACACCCTGGTCTTGGACTTCAGGATCCAGAACTTCGGGACGCTACGTTTCTGTGGTTTAAAGTCATTCAGGCGGTGGGGACCTCCTTACTGCACCCTAGCAAACTAATGCAAACTAATACAGCGGTGCTTCAGAAAGGGCACTTGGAAAAGTGCTCGGGCAGTGGGCTGGGACCTAGGACATGGCCGCGGGGGCATTTGCTTTCTGTTCTTGTGGGAGTGAAGACAATGGCATCTGTTCCTCCTAAATTCCCACTGGGTGCCACTGCTCGATCCCCTTCGCCGTCCACTCTTATCTCGGCCGTGAACACAAATACTGCAGGTCTTCGAGATGCCAACCAGCCTCGTGACTCGCCAGACTTACAGACACTGGATTTTATCACGCTCAGTGCATCTGTTGTCATTTAAGCACCCAACCAGGTCCTCCGGAAATAAGACTGTGCCTCACACTGTAGGCCAGTAACACATGTCCCCTTGTCATGGCCCGACGTGGTCCTGAGCCACAGGTGGCATGCAGGGCAGAGCAGAGTGACAGGACACAGCCGTTAGCTCGCTCTTCCTCACGGGTGGAATGAGGGTGCAAGTACCCGCCCCGCCGTCTCACAGGTGGATGCAGAGCCATGTGCGTGGAGGCCAGGCGGGCGTCCCTCCGGCGCTGCTTCCAGGCCCGCTGGGCCTCAGTTTCGTCTACAAAACAGGCAGTGCCCACCTTCCCACGGCCTGTGGGGACTCCGCCACCGGAAGGTGGTCCTATGCTTTCCTTCAATCTCAAGTCAGACATTTTGCAGAGGGGACAGCTACCCAGGGACAGCATGAAAGGGAGACGCGCAGACAAAGCCCTCCCACATCTGAGAAGTTCACTTCTGCCAGGTGTCACAACACGTTGGGTTGGGCGCTTTCAGCCTGGAGAAACGCAAGGCTTCTTTTCATCACAGAGATTTCCACGATAAAGAAACTGATCTTGGGAAAATATCATTTGGGGGTTTCTGACCTTCATGGTAATAATGAGTAATAAAAAATGTAAAGAAATAACAAAGGGAGGAAAGGAAAAACAAGAGTCATGGCCGACGGGGCGCAATCTGTCACCTACCACGTTGAAGGGCAGGGTGCTGGGGTCCGTGTCTTCCACGGGCTCGTCCGCCATGCGACCTGCAGAGAAACAAGTGCGGGGGTCTCCTTTAAGGTGAGGGCTCAGAGGTGTCCCTGGGTAACCGTCCCCAAGCAGACGCAAACTACCTTTGTCAGTGGACAGTAAGTGGAGGGGGCGGGGTCGTCAGACTGCACGAGAAAGGGGTTGACACAAACTTTTTTAAAAATCCATATTTGGAACAGTTTATTTATAAATATCTGCAAATACCCAGAGTTACCAATAACCACAAATCATACAGACAGGATGTGAACTTCACTGTAACTTCGAGCAGGAATGGTTTGGTTTGGGCTTCTGCTGCTTCCCTATTTCCTGCTCCTCTGTGATCCATCGGTACCATATTAAACTATTAAGCATCTGAATGTGGCTCACGCAAGTCAAAAATACAGAATCTTTATCAAAGTTAAGGAAGTTAATGAGGAAATGTAGAAAACAGAACAGACTCCCACTAGATCTTATGAATTTGTACAAATTAGAAAAAGCTCCCCCTTCCTGAAACGCTTTACAAAACATCTGCCAGAAAACTGTCTTGATAAATGACCATATCTATAGAACTATTTTAATAAAGGACGGTATCTGCTGGAGTGGGAGCCTCGGCCGGGCAGCGTGGGGCCTGCTGAGCCCTACGTGGCAGCCTCAGCCCACCGAGGGGCGGCTTCCATGGCTCCCCAGTCCTCACTGAGCAGACACCGGGCCCCGGGCCCCGGGCCACTGCTGGAGAACCAAACCAGCAGACCAGGACACTTGGTTGAGATCATTTGTGTAGGCAAAGGTCTCCCTCCCAAGAGGGGCCTTTCCACAGCCCGTGACAATGCCAAAGGAGGGCGGTGTGAAGAGAACTGTGTGTTTCGTGACAGCCTCCTGTCACTGGGGAGATTGAGAGGGTGACCCAATGAGCGGGGCAGATGTGGAGGGTGTGGCCAGTACCCTCCCCCCGGACAGGGACAGTGGTCTGCAGCTTCACCACCAGAACCCGGAGGTGGTGAGACCACATGCAGGAGGGCAGGAGGGCTAACCCCGGTCCCGTGCTCCAGCCCCAGCCATGACCATGACTGGTGTCTGGCACAGGAGCAGAGGGCTGCCGGAGCTCGGGGTCTCCTCAGCCTGGACCAGGAGGACGTTGTTCCTGCCGCAAGGCACTAAAAACCCTAAAGCTCACCCTCCGCTTCTCTATGTGGCTCTAAGGAGGGGCCAGGCCCCCAGTTTGGGCTAAAATGGAATTCCTGCCGGCCCAGTAGAAAAAGATTCAGATTTGGATTTAAATCAACATAAAGAAAATAACACACTGTGTTGTTAGCTGCACCCTGAGTTTACAGAACTGCTGATGGCCACATAACAGGAAATGTAATCACAGCACGAGCACTTTGCCCAACACCAGAGAAACACACAGAACAGGATGGGCACAGTGGGCAGGGCGGGGGGAGCTCCCGTGTACTGCCGCCAGCTGGGAGAAGGTGCTGGCAGGGAAAAGCATGAGGCAGAGGGAATAGCATGGGCAAAGGCCTGGAGATGAGAAAGGACTTGACAATCAATCGATATGCTTTCCAACGGGTCCTGCCAGCCACACCTGCAGTCGGCTCCTCCCCCGCCTCTAAGTGGGGGTGCGGGACTGGGGGGGCGGGGGCCACCACCCCGCACCATCAGGCCCTTCTTCCCTCCTCCTATCACAGCCTCCTCTCAACTGCTTCCTTTTCACTAACGTGCACCTGGATGCTAACACGTCACAGCACTCCCTGCCAGCCAGCGCTGCAGGACTGGAACCGGCATGAACGACGGAGTGTCAGGCCAATGGCTGTGTAGCACTGGGGGAGGGGGGCATTTCTAAATGACCCCGGCAGCACCCTGGACAGCTATGCCCACTCTGTCCATGACAAACGAGGCCTGTTTCCTACATGCAAATTGGCATGAAAGGCAGGAAAGAAAGAGACACAGGAGGACAGGAGGCGTAATGGCTGGGAGGCAGAGCTGCACCAAAGGCAGCAGAGGGGATGCAACAGGACAGCTGACAGGAAGGCACCCTGGGCTCGGGGTGCTGCCTGAGTCTCACCACCCACCAGAGAGCCCGCAGTCCGGCTGGGGACAAGCCCAGCGGTGTGACCTCGGATGGCTCACAGAAGTGTTTGCAGCCTCAGGCTCTTCCTCTGCAGGGTGGGGGGGCCCAGGCTCTGGTGCCCACACTCAGCGGTTGATTGTCACTCTGGTCAGCTTTGGGAACTGCCCAGTGGAATGAACTCCCGGTGCCCCTTGGAGCTGGCTGACCGAGCTCTGCGACAGCTCAGCGTGTCCCAGAGGGCTCTGGGCTGAACAGGAAGGCACAGGTGGGTGGCAGCAGGGTTTGGAGGTGCCCGGGCTCTGGTTCTGGTCTGAAATCTCCAGAATCAGCGGAGGCGCAGCTGGGAGGGATGCAGAATTTAGGTTTTGTTTTCTGCAGCATGACAGCCAAGTGAGAGGGCCGTCAGGAAAGGCATGGTGTTTGGGTGGCAGGGTCAGACGTTCAGGTAGCAGAGGCAGCTGCTGTATTATCTTCACTCCCTAGACTGTGCCGGCCTCCGGCGGAGCGGTCGATTGCCACAGGGCTGACCCTGGTGTCTGAGGCTAGTCTGGAAGCAGAAGTCCTAAAGTTTCCCAAGAGCTCTTGGAGCTGCATGTTCACAATATTTTAAGTATAAAGTCCAATAGTTTATTTAAAAGCTTTAAATGTTTCTTTCTACAGGCCCCAGGGAACGGCTGAGCCCCCGGCCAATGCTGTGGTACCAGATGGGGCATGGGGCGCAGAAGAGCCGAAATGGAAAAGAGGCCGTGCACCCTCCGCAGTAAGGCCAGCAACCCCGGCAGGGCCAGGGCCTCCCTCCGCCCCAAACCTGGAGTTGGGCTCATCCAGAGACTATCAGATCCAGGGAAACTGATTTATGGGGCTAACACCGGGGGCAGGTTGGGGCTCCTGGTGGTGGCAGAAAGCACTGGGGCAGGGTGGTGGCAGCGTTGCCAACCACATAGAAACACACGGACAGACATGCATACGTGTTCTGGGTTAGGAAGACTGAAAACTATAAAGGGGTGTTTTTACACTAGCTTGTACATGTAACTTGTTCACCAGTGTGCCCGTTAAGAGCTGTGTGAGGGCCAAGTAGATAAACAGAGCTGGATGTTTTATGGTGGGGGCAGGGAGAGACAGGCTCTTAGCTTATCTGAAAAAATAAACCAAAATATTCTCAAAAATCAGCTACAGCAATTAAAAGTTTGGTCCTAGCCTAGATGTAGTAAACAGAAGGGAGAGTCTAGAAACAGACCCAAATGTCTATGGGAATAAAGACAAAATAAAGAAGTAAGGCACAGATCACCCCAGAGTAGCTGGCAACTAACTGGCCAAGGGACCTCGTTGCCGGCAGTGCGGGCGATGCTTCATCCACGTGAGCCTCTCCGGGGAGCTCCTCCAAGGCACGAGGGAAACCCACGGTGGCCTGATGCCCCCAGGAGGGCACCTGGCCTGGCTCTGAGGCCTCGGGTGACAGCGAGGAGGGGGGCTGCACAGTCGTTTGTTTCTCGGGCACAGTGTTTCTCATCTGAATGCGTGGGGACAGACAAAGAGCCTCCACATGCCTGTCCGGCTTTAAAAGTCCGTGAGGGATGAGCCCTGGCCGGGTGGCTCAGCTGGTCGGTGTCGTCCCCAGACGCCAAGGTTGTGGGTTGGATCTTCAGTCAGGGCACATACAGGAAGCAACCAGTGACGCACACGTACGTAAGTGCAACCACAAATCAATGTTTCTCTCTCTCGATCTCTCTCTTTCTCTCAAATAAGTGTTTTTGAAAGTCCATGAGTGGGAGTGCTGACAAGGAATGGCCCCCGTCAGTGAGAGGGTCACCATGAAGTAAGAAGCCCCTGTCGCAGCACTTCCTCGCTGTCCACGAGTATTCCACATGCCTCGTTGACAACGAGGAGCGCTCCCGCTCCCCCGCTGCCCACCTGTGTGCATGGTTTGCACACAGTCTCGGTGCATCCTCAGGGGGACCCTGAGAAAGGCACAGGTGCCCCCATGTTTACAGATGGAGTGCCAAGGTCATGCGGTAGTGAAAGAGCCAGAATGTGGATCTGGGACTCTGCCTCTGTCCCACCGCCGTCAGGGTTCACGCACAGACCGCCTCTCGGACCCTCCCTCGGAGAATCTGTGTCCAAACTTCCCTTCGGTTAGGGTACCAGTCGCACTTGATTAGCACCCCCTCTGATGGCCTCGGTTCAGCTTAATTCATTCCGTGAAGATGTTGTTTCCAAATGAGGCCATGTTTTGAGGCACTGGGGGTTAGGATGCCAACAAAATTTGGTGGGGAGAACATAGTTAACCCATAACAGACCCCTCTCTGGCCCCTCAAATTCACATCCTTCCCACGGGTGAAATACATCCATTCAACAGCTCCCCACGGCATCCCAGCATCAGCCCTAAATCCACAATGCCATCTACTGATCATCCACTTACAGACCCAAATCCCATCATCTACAGGGTCAGGACCTCTCCGGGCTCCAGGAACTGCACGCGCCCGCCGCAGCCTCCCCAGGAGGAATAATCCCACGTGGCCAGCACCGCTCTGTGGGTCGTGCGGCCACCACACTGTCAAGTTCCCACAACTGCCTCTCCTAGTCACGTCAGGTAAAGGCCACTGGTTCCTCGAGACAGTTGCTCCAAGGAAGTTCAAAGATCTCCTCTCACGGTGTCCTCACAGAGAAAAGAGGGAAATGGGCAAGAGTTCCCCAGACTCCCAACATCTCGATGCAAAGGTGGGGGAGGGGGCTTCCATGCCTTCTAATGAAGAATTAAAGGTGATTCTTTGACCTGGTGATTGCAGGGTTAATTTGTCTCTCACATTATTCTTTTGTGTACGATCGTGTTTCTTTAGAGCCACAGCTGTTTGCATTACCGATTATAAGGACTTGGAGCGTGCTAACCAGACTCAGGATTACAAAAGTTCTCAGGGCCTCGGACTGCCCTGGGCGGTGCTGACACCCAAGTATTTATTTTATCCTCTGTTTTCTTCACCAGCCCTCTGTCACCCCACGGGGCTGAAGGAGCAGAGAAAGGGCCAGGGATCTAGCCAGGGGGCTCCCAACATTGCATGTGTGCAGGTCACCGCAGCACAGGCAGGGGAGGAGGAGGGCAGAGCCGAACAAAGGGTCACAGGGGGAGGTTCAGAGGAAGAGAGAAGGGAGAAGACTTAGAAAACACAGGCATTAAGAATGAAAGACATGCAGTGGGCACTGGACAAACTGGTGGGGAGGGTGGGGGAGGAGAGGGTGGGGGAAGGGAAAGGAAAACCACAGCGTCCATCCTCCACTGAATCTGAGGGGGCGGGATGGTCCACTTTCAAATGTGGGTGCTGCCCCTGCTCCCTGTGCTCGGGGGTGTGCGAGGAGACCACAGTGGCACCTTGCACTCACCTGCACCCACGGGGGGCTGGGAGGGGCCGTGAGGGCTGAGCTGTCCCCCAGGGGCTGTGCTGAGCTGGTCTCTAGAGCCAGGATGGTTGCGGAAGGGGGCGGGTACTCCCGGCCCTGGGCGCTGAGCTCACTGCGAGGATGCCAGACTTTCAAAGCCTCTCTCTTTGACTTTCTGTACCAACACGAACCAGACTTTATTCCCATTGGGTAGGCAATTCTGACCCCCTCCCTGCTGGCTTGCTGACCAGTGTTAGAGAGAGGGCTGCACTGGGACCAGCATTTCCTCCTCCGTGACCTCAAAAATCTCGTCAGCTCTCTTTCTTAGTTAGAAAGCTGTTGATTTCATTAAGCGCACAACAGCACCATCATACATACACGCCTTTGTTACATGCATGTGGACAGACAAATGTATTTTTTAACTTTACAAGGTAACCTCAGCTCACGCATCTGACCAGGTGAATGAGCTCCTCAGAGCTGGACGCACATGTGGTTACATTTGCTCTCTCTCCCCTCCCTGAGGCAGTGAGTGGCTGGCCTGCACTTACTCTGTGCTGTGAGCTGCGCAGGGGCCTCAGGTATCTGCCCCGAAAAGCATGCATTCGCTCTGTCCAAGAGCACAGTGGCGGGGGAGCGAGGCCAGGACCCTGCTCCAGAGGGAAGGTCCGGGACTGCAGAGCGTATAATGTGGGGTTTGATCTGCGAGACTTTTGAGCTGAAACCTGAAGGAGGTCAGTGGAGTGGGGATGGGTGAAGGGAGCCTTGCAGGCAGCAGAAACCGCCTGTGCGAAGGCCAGGAGGTAGGGGTACAAAAGCACAAAACCCGAGGAGACAGCACAGAGGCCACGCGGCACAGAGCGTAGCAGTTGGACGAAGGGCCAGGTAGAGACCTGTGTGCAGAGTATGGAAATGATGTAAGGACTGGGGATTTGGTGGAAATTCAGTGAGGGCTTCTCAGTGGAGAGAAATGATGGGATCTGAGTGGTTTTTAGAAGATCACTCTTGGCCACCTTTCGGCGAAGGGCTTGGTAGAAGGCGTGAGTGGGTGCGAAGCACCAGGTGGGAGAGGAGTGGAGGAAACTGGAGGAGGGAGGCTAGAACCCCAGTGTGGGGTGGAGAAGTGAGAATGCCTTTCCCCAAGGTCCACAGAGTGCCACCGTCTGTGGAGGGGGACGTGGGTGTGCCCTGGAGGTGACAGAAACTAAACGAGACAGCAGAAGGGATGTCATTTTTACATCTACTTCAAACTGATAAGAACAGATACTATATTTGATCTTAGCCAAAAGGCCGAGAAGAGATTTTAACTGTTTTAAATGGAGGGACTGTCATCGCATTGACAAGCTCCAGCATGGACATGGGCACGGGGCCATCTTCCAGGTGCCTGACTAAGTTCCTCAGCATAACTGCACGGGACGAGGACAGCTCTGCCTTAGAAGACCTCCCCCCTCTTTGCAGCAGCCAAAAGGATTTCACCTCCAGGTGCTGCTTCTCAAAGTCAAGGAGACATTCCTTCCATAGACTGGCTGGTGTCACCAGGTTCTCCGTGTGCTGTCACACCTCGTGTGCAGGGATGTCCAAGTGCCCTGGCCCCAGGTTGGGAGCCACGGTTTGGCTGGGCAGAGCTGACTCGGAGTCCATCATGGAATCTAGATTTTTCGTAGCACTTACTGTCATCACAGATCATATTAGTCACCGTGGTGGCATCCTTACATGACCGACTCACTGAGGCTTTTTACACATTGTGGGAGGGAGCTGCGTTTGCCAACACCGCCCCGTTGCCAGCTGATTGGGAGGGGGAGGGGCACAAGCAGATTTTACATTTATTCCCAGTCAGTGGCTCCCTATCAAGATCTGTTTGAATTCTGCCAGCTCTCATTTAACGAGACCTGAGACCACAGTTAGCAGAGTCTGGCCAAACCCTTGTGCACCTTGTCGATTCGGGTCTCAGACCACAGGGTGAGAGTGGATGGGGAGTAGGAGGGCTTCTCCCCTTCAGGCCTCTTCTGCTTTTCCAAACAGTGGGCAGGGGGGTGGGGGAGGTTAGCCAGACAGTGCATTTTCCATCTCCCATGGGTCAAATGTTTATTGGCCCCCACCTGAGGAAGAGTTTAGATCTTTCTTTAGAATGTCCAGGAAACTCCCCCAAACCTAGCACATCACCATGTCAACCTGCACAAACTGTTTCCTAACAGCTCAAGCCACAAATCAACGATGGAACATTCAAGCTTGGTCCCTGCTCCAGCCCAAGAAGTATTGGTTTGGCCAACAAGTCCGTTATGTTTTTTCCCCATAAAATAAAAGACACATTTTTCAGTTTCACCAATAACATCATTGAGCTGGACATTTTGAGTATGTTGGCTGTCTCCCGCTATTGGCTTCTACTGGGTAGAGGCTGGGGTGCTGCTAAACATCTTCCAGTGCATAAGGCAGCCCCTCAGCAGAGAACCATTTGGTCAAAATGTCAATGTACCAACAAACGTCACAAACCACTTTTGACACATTCGATCAGTCACAGCATCTTCTCCATGCACTGAACAAATCTTTTTTTAAATTCCAGTTGTGGTTTTTTACCTTTCTCGAAATAATAAATTATAACACACTGAAAATGTTGCATATCTTCTTCCATATTCAATATTAAAATGGCTGCACAAAAGTTCACCAACTTTATAACAAGTTTCTTTTAAATGCATGTTGACATGACAGCTGTCACGACACAGTCTAACAAAATCGTTTTGAATGAAGTTAAAGACAACTAAGTGCTACTAGCCATCCTACAAAAAAAAAAACCCAACGGACTGTTTGGCCAACACAACAGACTAGGAAACCGGCCCACCTGAGCAGCTATATGCAGTTCTGTATCTGGATATGTGGTCTCCAACCCACCCCCTGGCCTTTCCAACCTCCACAAAACCAGGAGAGCCTCCGCGCTCCAGGAGCCCACCATTCATTCATTTGCGTTCAGGACTTGCACTGCGCATAGGCCAGGTTACCGTTACCGGGAAAGCAAGGGCAGAGACCTTCCTAGGAGGGAAGGCCTGAGGAGGATTTTCAATGCGAGGGAGATTAGACGACAGTCCAGACTCTGGCCTTTGAGACAAACACAATATTTTAAAGTAGGGACAGGACTAGAGGCCCATGGAATCAAAGGCCCCACAGCTGGGGTCCTGAACCAGGACCCGAGTCTTGGTTTGGGGATGCCGGTTTATGAAATAGCTCGAGGGCCAATATCTGGAGCAAATTTACTTTATAGTAAGTGAAATGAGAAGAGGAGAAATGAGACCTTTGAGAGGGAGGGAGACAGAGCCCAGAGGAGAAGGGAATCCGCCCCTGGCGCTCTTCTCTGCCGGGGGTTGGAGGGACTTGTCTCAACCTGGCGGCGGAGTCCAGAACAAAAGCGCTGGGGAGGTGGGAAGCGGCGGGCGCGCCCGGGGCACGCGTGGGTGATGGGGGTAGGGCTGTGTGGGGACCTGGTGCCACTGTCCCCTGCCAGCCCCGGGCCGACCCCGGTCAGACGCCAGTAGTGGGGGTCATGGAAAGCTCGGCCCGGACCCCGCGCCGCGTCCAGGCGCCTCCAGGTGAGCGCGCGGCGCTGTGCCACTTTACCTGCGCGCAGAGGGTCCTCCGGAGAAGCCATGGGGGCGTGTGGGGAACGAGTGCCGGACTGGTGGCCTCTGACCAACAGGGAGCGCGCGGAGGGGACTGAGAGCCCTGCGGTGCAGACGCGATAAGAGCTCACCCCGCAGCCCGGCGCCCCTCCTCCAGCTCCCGCCCGGTCCCTGCTCCTCCTCCTCCTCCTCCTCTTCGGCTCTCCGCCGCTCCTCCTCTAGCTCACTTCCTGCTCCGGCAACTAGCGGAGCTCCGTCTCAGGGAGTCCTTCGTCCCTCCTGCAGCGGGCGGGGCGGCGCGGCGCGCTGAGACGGTCCCAGGGCCCGTGCGTCCCAGCCCGCGGTCCCTCCCGGCTGCACCCAGGTCCCGGGGCAAGTCCCCCGAGCTCGCGCGGTGGCTGCCAGGGCTGGCTGCGGATGCATCATCCTGAAACCCGCACCTCCGCCGGTACTCGCTCTCTGCAGGCCGAGGGGGAGAAGCCTACGGGCGATCGCGCCTTAACGAAGTCCCGATCTTCGGGCAGACTAAGCAGCTGCGGGACGGCGCACGCCTGTACCTTCTGTCTGGATTGCTCTGGCCTTAGCTGCTGCACGACCTCCAGGGCGAGCGCTGCGCAGACAGCGGGAAGGCCACCCCGGCACGCCCCCAGGGCCTCTCCAGCAAAAGAGCTGTGGGCCTCTCGGAAATACGGACTTGGTTCTTAAAAACAACTACTAGGTTTTAATGTAAAGAAATGTTTATACCGATTACTTACGTAAGCACAGACTGACACCGTTTACTAAGAATACACAGGGTGGGGCAAAAGTAGGTTCACAGTTGTTTGTATAGAAAATAATACAATAAAAATAAATAATACAAGAATAAATTTTCATGCACTCACAACTGTGAACCTACTTTTGCCCCACCTTGTGTTTAAAATTGTTATACTTTAAACCTAGCATCAATCACAAACCTATTACACAAAGGTGATGGGCAACTTAAATTTAAAAGAAATCTCTTAAATTTAAATCTATGCCTGCCTTCATACCTAAAACTAGAAAGACAGGAACTGGCTTGAAAGAGATAAGGTAAGAGCACTTAGTGCACAAAGGAGGAGCCTCCAGCTAAAATCTCAGCTCTGAAAAGTGCAGGCAAGCCACACATGCCTACGTACCCGCCGGACGCCCGGGGTCTTGCTGTGCGCCCCTCTTCACCTGTTTGGTGGTCCTGAGGCCCATGGCGCACTCCAGACCGGCTTTATGGCTGGAACGGGCCGTGAAGACACGCAACACTGACAGCAGAGTCCCGCTGCTGCGCGAGGCGACAGAGAAAGACCTTCCCCATGAAGCCTCTCTGGGAACTTTGTGGGTGGGAGGATAAACTTCCTCTTGGTCCGCCCTCTGATAAGAAGGGAAACTTTTTTAAGGTTATTTTTTCTTACAATTCACTTTGAGGGTGGGTTTGTGGTTCTTTCTGTACTTCTCTCAACAATGGAATTATTTCTGAGGTCGGTTATCAGGAACCACCCATCGAGCTAGGCCATCGGTTAGCGGCACAGCCGCAGGGGCCGGAGCCTTGCTCTGAAGCTGGCTTGCTGAACAAAGCCCTGCACGGAGCTCCTCTTCCAACCACTCCTATTCTTCAGCATATCAAACGAAGATGAGTGGCAGGAGGCATCTTAAGGTCATTTTTTTTCAATCCTCACTGAAGACATGCTAATTAATTTAAGAGGGAAGAGAAACGTAGATGAGAGAGAGAGAGAGACACACACACACACACACACATCCCTTGCCTCTGGCGCATGCCTGGACCAGGAACTGAACCTGCAACCTAGGCATGTGCTCCCACTGGAAATCAAACCTGCGACCTTTCAATCTGCAAGATAGTGCTTCACACCAGCAGGGCAAGGTTCATTTTTTTAAAGGAAGATTGGCTATGTAGTATATATACTCATATAATATTAACATATTCTATATAAACTGTATATATTATATATATTTCCCTTACATTCCATTTCATTGTACCTCCTTTCTTGTGAATGGCATCCATATCTTACCTTTGTTTTTCCCATGCGTTGTGAACTATAAAGTATAATTCAAATGGAAGCTGTTAGTGTTGCAAGTGATAAGGAAAAAAAGTAATTTAACAATTCTTATGCACTGGAGTTCCCAAAGCATTCTGACACTATCTATTTGCTGTAACATTATGCCTCTGCTCTTGCTTTAATTGCTGCCCAAAGAGTGTTTTGAAACAAATGCTCTTTAAAGTGAATGTTTCCAACATTTCCTAATAGCACTTAAATATGCATGCATCTTGGAATTACCGTATTTTACCATGTATAACGTACACCCACGGTTTCATGCACATGTACACGAGATTAATATACTCATACCCATGGTATGTAATCATTACACCCATGTATAATGCACATCCATATTTGTCCTCAAAAACTGGGGAAAAAAGTGCACGCTGCACATGGCAAATATGGGCACGTGTTAGATTTCAGGCTGCCGTTGCCACACTGCCCTCTGAGGGACCGGCACTTCTCTTTCCATACATGGCAGTTGCAGACTTGGTCATCCCCACACTGCGTTTTGCTCGTGGGCCTGTCATCATTACTTGGTGTGACTTTGGCAAGTAACCCGAAGTCCGAGTCTGTAAGAACTTACAGGACTGTGAAAATTCATCGAAATATTGTACACACCAAAATACCTAAGCCAATGCCTGTGACATAGTAGGTACAAACAGTTGCCTTTTGGCCTTCATTCTTTCCTTGCAGTTTAGTCTATTGAGAGAGGCTCCTATCATCCTGTTATGAGAAACGAACTGGTATGTATTACAGGGCTTGTTCGTAGAGCATGGCTCAGTGGATTGGCCGGTAGCAATCATTCACGCAGATTTCAACTGCCCCCGGCCCCCCCCCCCCCCACCAAACAAAATACCAAGCCCAGGGGAAACCAAGGTGAGAAATCCTGACTCCTAGGAGTTAAAGGCCAAGAGAGATTTGCAAATGTTTCACTATAGACTGAGGTGATGAAAGTTTAAGCCAGGACGGGTGTGTGTGTGGAAGAGGTCTTACAAGGACGAGGGGGTCGGTGTGACTGCCCTCAGACGATGTTGGCCGTACAGCTCTCGCAAATGCTGAGACCGTCATTCATGACACTTTCGCTACGGCCTTAAGTGGGGGAAACCTGCTGTTTTGTATCTTTTCACAAACAGGTCATGACAATGATCAGGACCACTGCTAAGCTTCAAAGGAAGAAAATGGCAACTCAAAACACATTTCATTTGATGCATCATGGAATATATTGGTTTTGTTCATTTTTAGACCATTTTGGGTGTTACTTTAATTTATGCAACCTGAAATAAAAAGTTATACACTGAACCACATACTTCAATATTTCAAAAGACACGAATATTGGGTACAAATGAACCCAGCAAACTGAGCTCCCCGGCAGGGTTTGAGCTTCATTAAAGCGGCCAGAACTATGATGGTCACATATGAACTACAGGAGACGCCTTATATGCCAGAATCAGACAGCACCTTGGGTGCCCGTGGGTGAATATCGCCAGTAGACCTGCGTGTGGTGGGGAAGAGGCCCGAAGGAGAGTTGATGAGCTCGTTTGTCTCCTAGTCTCTGGAGTAGGAAATGCATTTTGTTAAATTTTGCCCAGATCTTGTGAAGACAGTTGTCGCGGACCCCTGTTTGCCACCAGCTTTTCTTAACGGCGCCCCAGGTTGCCGTTCCCACTCTCAGTCCGTGAGGGGAGGCGGTGGCAGCACCGCCTGGCTCCTGACTTCCAGGGGTTTGGCATGGGACCCGGTGTTGGCCTTCCAGAGCGTTGCAGAATGAGCAATGAGCCTGGGAGGGGCGTGGAACCTCTCCCCGGAAGTTGCGAGGTGCCTTCAGTAACGCGCCCAGGGTCACACAGCTGGCACCTGGCAGGAGAAAGGAATGAACTGTCCAGGAGGGGCCACCCCATAAGAGCCTTGACCACCAGACACAAGCCTTGGGAAAAGCCATGGTTTTTTCAGGTAACAGGAAGCCAGGAAGCTCGGTTTTGAAAAGTGGCGTATGAAAATTGGTGTTTTCGGAGGATTAGTCTGGCAGCTGTGTGTAGGAGAGAACAGAGTAAGGGGAGGATGCAGGCCAAGGGGCCATTTATCTTTACAATACACTGTAATTTATTGCACAGTTCCACTTACATCCTTGTGAGGGAAACACGTATCTGAAGTTGTAAAATGTTCTTTTGTTGCCCATTTTTATTATTTATTAATCTTACCCGAGAACTTTTTTCCACGACTTTTTAGAAAGAGAGGACGGGAGAGAGAAACATCGATTGGTTGCCTTCTTGTTTGCGCTCTGATGGGGGATCAAACCCTAAACCTGGGTAGGCGCCCTGACTGGGAATCCAGCCTGCGACCTTTCGGCCTTTTGGTCTGCCGGACGACACTCTAACCAACTGAACCACACCAGCCAGGGCTTTTTATACAGTCATTGTTTCCCAGGGATGTTTGCCCTGCAGATTTGCATATATGTATGACAATGATATATTCCAAAGCATTAGTAGAGGAACTAAAAGACTTAAATGAGTAAAATATAGTAGTATCACTTTGGCTGCTTTGAATCCTATTCTGTTTGACTGGGCACAACATTCTAGCTCATGTATTTAGACAGGAACCAGTCTTGAAGGTTCCTCCACTTCTCACTCATGCAGTCGGTGCCCTTCTAGTGCTGGAGGTGAAAGCTCTCTTGCCCACTCATACCAGCGGACTTTGAATTATTTACCCATTGAGACAATGGGCTAGCAAACCACACTTTGGGTGCTGCGTTTGGCTTCCCACGGAGAGAATGGTACAGTGTGGGCGATTCCCAGCTGGCGAGTTGCTGCAAACACTGGGAACCCCATGGAGAGGGGACTGGGAGGTGTGGAGGGCGGGAGAGGCAGGGAGAAGAGGTGCCACTGTGCAGGAAGCACTTTTATTCCAGAAACACCCCTCCCGCCTCTCTGATCTGCACTGACCACTCACCGGTGGGTCCTGGCCCCTGATCTCAGCACCATTTCCAGGTGCTTTCTTAGTGAAAAGCTTCTTAGGTAACAATTTATATCTGCTCCAGATTTTGAGAGAAAATCTGCTCAAA